CACTTGTCACCGGTCTCCACTTGGACATTGAGCCATTGACCACAACTCTTTGAGTGTGGCCGTCTAGCCAATTCCTTATCCAGACAGTCATCCTTCTATCAAATCCATGCCCCTCCAACTTAGAGACAAGGATGTCATGTGGGACAGTGTCAAAGGCTTTGCACAAGTCCAGGTACATGATGACAGTTGCCCTTCCTCTGTCCACCAGCGCTGTGGCCCTGTCGTAGAAGGCCAGCAAATTCGTCAGGCTTGATTTTCCTTCGGTAAAGCCGTTTTGGTTGTCGTCAATAACCTGCTTGTTATCCATGTGCCTTAGCATAGATTCGAGGAGGATTTGCTCCATGATCTTGCCAGGCACAGAGGTGAGACTGACTGGCCTGTAGTTTCCCAGGTCTTCCTTATTTCCTTTTTTAAAAATGGGGGCTATGTTTCCCCTTTTCCAGTCTGCGGGAACTTCACCAGAGTGCCACGACTTCTCAAATATGATGGATAGTGGTTTGGCAACTTCATCTGTCAGTTCCCTCAGGACCCATGGATGTATCTCATCAGGTCCCAAGGACTTGTGCACCTTCAGGTTCTTTAGATGGTCTTGAACCATCTAAAGAGCTTGAGCTCTTGCTAGTGAAGACTGAGGTAAAGAACTCATTAAGTACCTCAGCCTTCTTCCCCAACAAGATGATGACAGTCCTGAGGGAACTGCTGATGGGCTGTGAGAAGGGATGTCAGTGGCGAGAGGTTGTGTGAAGGTGGATGGTGCTGGTCTGCTCCCTGAGGTCTGTTTGGGTAGAAAGGGATGTAAGCCAACAGGAAACTGAATTTCTTTTCATATTTTCTCAAAGAACAATATTTTTCTCGTGAAAGGGAATAGTTGGCTCCCAAAAGGGTATGGTCTGATCTCAGTTACATCTGACATACGGCACACATTTATCCTTGGGTTCAGGACTTCGAATTAATTGATGTCAATTTGTTTCAGATCTACAGCTCAGATATATCCAGTACCATCTGGGGCCACCTGGATTTCCGACTGCCTCCTCTGTATGCGGCTTTTGTGAATGGAGTGGCTGTAAGGGATGCTCTTTTATTTGCTCTTAAATCACACTAATTTATTCCATTCTTGCTCTAGAGAGAACAGAATGCTCCTAAAACCTTAGTTTGCTTTATTCTTGTGCCTGAAGCCTGCCACAAAACTTTCCTAGACTGTTCTCCTAATGTGCTTCAACTTTATTCCAAATGAGACTGGACTCAAAGTATAATGTATATGTGATGCAACTCAACAGCATCCCTTACCTTTAATGTGGGACTTGGGGCTGATTTCAAAGGTCAAAACTCTACAGCTTGTTACAGCTGCAATACAGAGACATACTCTAGCTCTCACTGATTTCACCAGGATCCAAATTTCACCTCAATTGGCAAAGTATAGTTAGAGAAAAACACAAATACAGACAGATGCACATATACACACACACATACAATATCACAAGGCAATTTAATCTTCAGTCATGCAGTTTGCAAAAGCCTATTATATATTTTGGACACGTACTTTGTCAGTAAAGCAATAACCGACTCCTCAGACATTTGTCTAAATTCAGATTTAGACTGAAACCATTTGAAATCAAAAGATACACCGGAGGTGGAGTAGACAAATTTGGCAATTATGCAATTATGCAAAACTAGGGAAGGTGACCAACCAAGGAAATGGTAATATTAAGCCTATCTAAATTAGTATGACAACAAGATCAGAAGTCCAATTTGACACCTCATTTCCAATGTAGAAAAAATTACCTTGGAAATGAGATCTCTTACCTCTCAGCTCCTAGCAGCCTGTGTGGTATTCAAATCAGGCTGTTAGCGTGTATGTGATCATTTAAGTTTAACATCTCGGTCACAGGTCGGTTCTAAGTGCTTATTAAAGATGCCAGGAATGCAGCGTAACAGATATTGGGCACAACTCCTCATCCTGCACGAAAGGACATCTTCCCAGCTAGCATCAAAATTCTTCAAGGCAGGGACTGGGTTTTCTCCTATCTGTTCAGGAATGCACTCCTCAGAAGGGCATATTCCCAGTACTACAGGGCAAGACCTGAGCACTGGGGAGCCTGACCACTTTCCCAGTTTGCTCTCAAGTAAGACACAGGTGTGTAGGCATGAAAGTTCAGCTTTTGAGGCATTACTATGTTATCAATAATAATGTTCCTGATGCTCTCAGTCCTTGAGAGTCCTCAAAATTTTATGAGTTTTCTGAAAAACCATATATTGCAAACACTGAGTGCACTGCCAGGAGCAGTTTGCTACCAGAACAGCAGCTGTATGCCATGCTGGGAACGCCCAAAATATTGTCAAGGAGCAGGGCTCTGGGCTCAGGAAAGAGGAGGCACCTCTCTGGATACTCTCTAGGGATAAACAGCCCATCTCAGTTTTGAGACTAGCTTTCTCCTATTCCCAGCAACACCAGGGAGCCTGGTTCCTCCTGTGACAGGTCTTGTTTTGATGTGCTAATAATTCAGACTAACATCTGATATACATTTGCAGGCTTGTGCCTGTTGCCATGTGAATGGTTGCACCAGCGAAGTTGTTCTGATACAACTTCCAGTTGGCAGTACGGATTTGACTGCTACAAAATGGTGTGAGCCCTAATGGCAGCATCAGTTGCAGCACTGGAGAAGTGTTTATACACTGTTTTGGAGAAGTGAAAACTCACCATTCACATGATGGACCTAGAACTGCTACTTTAATTATACCAGTCTAATTAAAGCAGCCAAAGCCTACCGTAGAAAGAAGATTTATTGTCATACTCGTTCTAGACTGGTGCAACTTGAGTTAGAATTATACTCCTTTGAGGCAAGATTTGTATTGCATTACCACTTCTCACAAAGGGAGTAAAGGAGTAAAGGTCTCAAAAGAAAGACTTTTTGAAGTTTTGCTTTCTAAGGAAAATCTAGTTATTCAGTCCTTTTTTATACCAGCTACAATAGTTTCATTTGACTGAGCCAATCTTGCCAAGACATTTTATTCCTGATGACAACTCAAGATTTCTCTTTCTGTTAGGTGCACTCAATGGATTTTGACGACACGTGGCATCCAGCCACACACCCATCCGGGGCTGTGCTTCCCGCTGTGATTGCACTCTCAGAGGCCTTTCCTCAGAAAAAAATCTCGGGTCTTGATCTGCTCTTAGCTTTCAATGTGGGAATCGAAGTACAAGGCAGGCTTCTGCACTTCTCCAGCGAAGCCAGGAACATTCCCAAAAGGTACATAGAAACACTTCAAGTAGAAAGTTGAGTGTAAGGGGGTTTTTTGTTGTTAACATACTTAATTAAATGCTAGTTTAAATACAAATGGCACAGTTAATCATATTTTCTGTGTTGTCTGGAAATTTAGAAAGGTTAATCTTAAACATGAATATACTTACATGACTCCTTAAGGCTTAGCTAATAGAGGTTTTTTTGAGACCATCTATCAGTTTACAAGGAGGAGGTGATGATCTCCCTATTTACTAAAACAGCAGCAAAAGGGCGACGTTTAACAGCACAGGTTTCAAGCTTTCATGAATACATATGACTTTGCTTCACTTGCCAACAGTGGCTTGCTCTCAGTGGAATGGAGTCACCAGTGCTGGGCTCAGAGCAGAGCCCAAGAAGACGGGGTGTGCTTCGGGGAAAGCCTTGAAGCATGGGATGGACTAGATCTGTTCTTGCTGTCTTCTGAGCGTTCCTTCTACCAATTTTGTGAAACTAGTTCAGAATAACAAAATTTGCCTCCCCAAATATGTATAATTTATAGGTGACTATAAATTATTTACAGATAATTTATAGATTAATATAAATTATGATGCTTTTGCCATTATTCTGTTCAGTATGCTTTGAACTATGAGGAGTTCTAACATTTCAGTTCTTTCTGGGGAGGACCTATTGTAAGTCTTATTATTCTAGTTTCACTTGTTCCTGGGAAAAAGTGACAACTTTTTCCATTAGGCCCACAGTTAAATGCTGAATGTATGTTTCCTTATGGTCCAGTTCACCTTCCACAGCTGTAAAAGGATATTGGAGCTTGTGTATATGGTGAATTCAGGTGACTCTGAAATATGGTAATGGAAAGATTTTGTCTTCTCAGGTTTCACCCACCGACTGTGGTTGGTACAATGGGAAGTGCAGCAGCTTGTGCTAAACTGCTAGCTCTTGACCAGCTGAAATGTAAAAACGCTTTGGCTATTGCTGCCTCCTATGCAGGCGCCCCACTGGCTAATGCAGCAACCCAAACGAAGCCCCTCCACGTTGGCAATGCTGCCAAGCATGGACTGGAAGCAGCTTGCTTAGCATCACAGGGCCTTCAAGGAAACAAACAGATCTTGGACATGGAATCAGGGATAGGAGCCTTTTATACAGATTACAGCCCACAGACTCTGCCAACCTTGCAGTCCTATCCCTGGCTGTTGGACCAGCAAGATGTGGCCATCAAACGTTTTCCTGCTCATCTTGGAACACACTGGGTGGCTGATGCAGCATCTGCTGTTAGAAGGAAGCTTGTGGAGAGCAGTGACAACTTGCTCCCCCTTGATAAAATTGAGAAAGTCATTCTCAAAGTCCCAGAGGTCAAATATGTGAACAGACCCAGCCCCACCTCAGAGCACGAAGCTCGACACTCCTTCCAGTTTGTTGCGTGCTCTGCTTTGCTGGATGGCAGCATGTCAGTCCAGTCCTTTGCTAGTGAGAACATTCACCGGCCAGCGTTGCGAGATCTTCTCTGCAAAACGCAGCTGGAGCACCCTCCTGATAACACACCTAGCTTTGAGAGTCTTTACTGTGAAGTGAGTGTCACGCTTTGGGATGGCAACACAATCAGCGATCGCTGTGATACCTTCTACGGACACTGGAGGAAACCTCTGGAAAAGGAGGACTTGGAGAAAAAGTTTCAAGCCAATGCCTCCAGTGTCCTGCCTGCAGAAGCCACAGAACACATTATAGAGACTGTGTACAATCTGGAAAAAGTACAGGACTGTTCTATACTAGGTACATTTTTATCAGGACAGTCAGCTAGAGCACTTTCAGAGAAGCTGCACTTCCTTTGAATGCTCCAACCGACAGCTAGATGCTGTTCAAAAAGCAAACACAAAATTCAGGACAACCTCTTATTTGGTGACTCAAGCACTTCTAAATTGGACTCCTGCAACAGAAGAGCTGTGCTCAGTCCAATATTGTGGGTTTTGACTAAGTAAATAATTTAGTGATTACGTGCACAGCTCAGTCAGGCTGAACAGAAGATCCTCTGCTGGCACAGTTGACTTCAATTATCTGTATATCTCCAGAAGCAGAGCATTGCTTGCGTGCAACACAAAAATTATGCTGCTCTTCTGCCAAAAAAGTCTGTATGTTCTGCTTCTGCTAAATAACTCCATAAAGGAAATCCAAATTTTGGAGGAGTATGGAAATGCTGTCTCCGTAAGAAACATCACTGTGAGAAGGACAGAGAACAAAAGTCTTTAAATAATCTATTTCTGTAGATTTAGCTCTAAAGCTTCCTTGAAGAGGCCACCTGTTATGTCAGAGCTTTGACGTTTGTGCCAAAATAAACACAGCATACATACAGAGCAGTAGCAATTGATACTCTGTGACACGTTAGGCTTTGCCGTCAAGATTGGTCTTGCATCAACAAGATAATGTTAGCACCCTTCCTGATCACACCAGCTGCAGAGCAAGAGGGACAACTCAACACTCATCAAAAAAGTGTCATCTCCCAGTTCCATCTTTTGGCTGCTCTAAGGTATTCCCACTCCACTTACAAGGCGTTCACATAACAGGACATAATTAGCACTAATTAGTGATGACACATTTAAATTACTTCAGGCACTGCAAAGCATGGGCTACAGTACACTCGTTATGACTGTCAGAGAACTGTGAGCACCAGAACACTTTTTATGCCAAGATAATTAAGGGTCCACAGTGACAATCAACTTGCCTTGATAATGAATTCTGGGAATTTTTAGTTCCTTCAGGAGTACAAAGCCTTGCCAGATTGTGCTTCTAAGAGAGGCCAACAACCTTTGCTCACATTTCTAAAATCAAAGCATATGTTCTAACATATATAAAATGCACCTTCCTTAGAGCACTAAAATATGTATGCAAAAAAATCATCAAATAAAGCTACTTCATTTTACTAACTAAACCTCAAATTATTTCATTTATTAGAACAAAACTTGTGTATTTTCGAGATACTGTGTATTCATTTGTCCTTAAGCCTCTGACTCTTGGTTTACAAAGTCGGTTTATCTAGGGAGCTCTGCAAAAATTTCAGAAGTCCATTAGTTATACTTGCTTAAAGACTTTCAAGGGAAGAAAAAGAAACCCCAATAGCCACATTTTTTTCTTTTTCGCTTCTGAATAGAAAGTAGAATTGAATTGCTCACCTGTACTGAAGGTATACAGACTCATTTACAGCTATTTCATCTGTAATTATAGCTGGGTAACACCAAATGTGAATTATTGATAGAATCATAGAATCATTAAGGTCGGAAAAGACGTCAAGGATCATCAAGTCCAACCATCATAATCATTAGTGATGTGATAAAACCTCATTGGACAAGGAGGGTTACTACATTATCTTATCAAGACTGAATACATTCAGATTCATGAGAAAAAAAGGGGAAAAAACCCCACCCTCACAACCTTCAACACATGCTTTCTATTTTAAAAGAGAAATAAATAGGATAAACAAATAAATAACCATTTGAGGTATTACAGATTAAAAAAAATAACAATCAGGAAACTCAGAACTGTTAATAGTTGCATTATTTTATTAATATAAAGGAAGCTAAATGCTTATGCTTAGCTAAATTGATCTTCTTGCAGAAGTCTGTATGCTTACAGTCAGGCAAGTTTCAAGACTTCTTGTACCATTGTTCCAATTCCATCAAAGATTTCATGCAGAGGTGCCTTGCACATGAAAGCACAGGTAGTAACTATTTTATTGGCTTTATCCACATGGGATTCATTTACATTTTTGCAAATGTGCTTACATCCAAGTTCTGCTATAGCAGATGCCGTTTCAGCATCAGGAAATCTGTAAATGAAAATATTGTAATTAACATAAAGAGATGATACAGCCATAATGTTCTGCCAACATAACTTGAACAAGAGAAGTACAATAATATTTTAGTGACTCTCTAGTTGGTGATGACAAGGGAGTCAAACAGACTGCCACTGTCAGGTTCTCCCATCCCCTATGGACACAGAAAGTGATCTGATATGTCTGAAAACAAGGTCTGAAATGCAGAGCCACAGTACGTCAAAGTACAGTTCTGTTTTTAACAATCTTTCAATAAGTTTACAAGATGATACCAAGTACAGCCATAAATGATCCTCACAAGTGTGAGAGGTGCTGGCTGAACTTGCAGACATGTTAGACCTTTTCCATCACCTCCACACAAGGTCTTCCACTGGGATTCTGCACAGGTTTTTTGTACTGCAGATAAGGCAGGAACAGAGGCACTCCCTCACTGCCGCTGCTGATACAAAACTCCATTCAGAAGTTTTACTGGGAGTTGACAGTCCTTGAAGCAACACTGACTTCTTCCAGGCCCTGTTCTCATCTGCCTCCCATAAACTGGCCCCAAACCACTATGACCAGAAAAACTTTATTAAAAATTCCTGATCAGACAAAACTCCACAGACACTAAACAGCCACTCCAATTACCACAGGGTACCAAGTATTTGAATGCCAGCTGGCCAGAAGCCTATTCTTCATGGGAACATCTGCAACATGAATCATGGCCTTCAAAGGCACTGGATAAGCAAATCCTGTATCTCGCTTAATGTGAGCTAAAATATATCACTCAATGACCATGAATGTAACATGAAAAAACAACTTGATATCCTTGGTCACCTGTGTGCTTGCACAGGTAGGATTCTGAAAAAGTTGCTTTGTTTTGTCACTTTTAGGATTGATGAATGCTAGATCCAGTGACACATTAGCACTCACACAGCACAATAAAGCCCGTGCAGGAACCTGTGTTATCTTCGGTGGCTCAAAGAGTGACAACTTAGGCAAGAGATAAGGCTACCTGAAGTTTTCAGACTTGTAATGTGTCTGTGGATGTCGTTATAATAGAGCATAGATTAGCTAGATTTAGATTAGATATAAGGAAGAAATTCTTCACTATGAGGGTGGTGAGGCACTGGAACAGGTTGCCCAGGGAAGTTGTGGATGCCCCATCCCTGGAGGTGTTCAAGGCCAGGTCTGAAGAGGCTTTGAGCAACCTGGTCCGGTGGAAGGTGTCCCTGCCCATGGCAGGGACACTGGAACAAGACGATCTTTCAACCCAAACCATTCTATGATTCTATATCACAGACCAAACTATTTCTGAATTTAGGGATAAACTGTACCAATGTTGTAGTGCACAACAAGTCACCCAACCTCACGGATTCAGTCCATCTGCCCTGAGAGTTCTGCACTTGCTATTATTTGTAAGTGAAAATCTGAAATAAGAAAAATGTCACTATCAAGGTACCCAAGGGTTACTGGCACAAGAAAGCTCAATTTTTTGCTTAGAACACTGGCCTTTTCCTAACCCTAATTCCCACATAAATTATCTCCATCCACTTCCTTCTTACCTTCCATCTATGTTTTTATCTTGGCCGATGGTGACCTCACAACCAGGAAAGACTTTAGCTGCCAGGACTGGCGATATACAGCACAAACCAATGGGCTTTTTAGCACTGTGGAAAGCTTGGAGTGTGGAGTTCACGTGCTCATTGACAGTACAGTTCTTGCCATCTACAGCCCAGGAACATAGGTTCTTCGCTACACCAAAACCACCTAAAAAAACCACAAAAAACTAAATGCTCAAATGTAAGACACTGCTAAAGACAACACCAGAGAGAAGTCCTCCTTTTTTTACAATATAATCATGGCATATGTAGGACTGTTAAGTTACCATACGGAAAGCTTTTAGCACATGAAATGTGATGGGTTTTAATGTTAAAAGTTTAACTGCTAATTTTTTTATACCACATATGTTATGTAGGCTAGAAAGCTTAAACTTGCTTCAATGAGTAACAAATAGAGAAACAGGAAACCTCACATTCATTTGATAGCAACTGGATAAGCTACACTATCTGATATGCACTCCTTGACAAGCAACAGAGGGATTAGAAGAATGGCCAATGATAGTTAAAACTAGAGAGTGCAGTTCACAAGAGCAGTGCAAACACTGGTTTGACCCTCTACAGTAATTTCACTCTCAAGTTTTAGTTCAATACTTAAACAATTACAGGACAGCTTTTTCCCCACCTAGAATTCTTTCTGGACTTTAAAAAAAAAAAAAAAAAAAAGGTTAAGACAATAAAAACAAAATGGATATCACTTAAAAAGGAATTGATAATATATGATATTCTGAGACATACCACTTATGAATGATAACATAATTTCCTATTAAAAATAATGCTGAATTTGTCTTTCTATAAATTAGTAATAACAATCCTTTACTTGCATTTAACCTTTGATTAACTGTACAAGCACATTATATTTTACAGCACCTTCGTTCACTGGATTTATAACCATCAGAATAATCAAAGTAAGAAGGGTAACCATCTTTGGTTACCATATTTGGTTCCTTATGGAATGTGCACAACATCAACTTTTCTACAATAACTAAACTGAAATTTCCACAAGTATTTCAACAGATAACATCAAAAAGCTTTGAATCTTTAATATTTTTCCTTTCATTCTTTGCTCACTTTTGAGTCTTATCTTGAATCTCCAAGGTAAGATTTTAATTTTCAAACTTAATAGGGTTTATTTACCTCTAATAGTTATTACAACAACCCCCTGTGCCTGGGTTATAACAGCATGAAATTAACGTGGAAAATATTTGCTAGCCTCTACTCCCTGGTGAGCCCTGATGTCACTCACTCATTTTAGCACTGCAAGTGTGTTTCTCCGCGTTGTACACACACTCCCTCTGCTGGCATTACAACAGAAGACAGTCTAACAACTTTAAAACTGATGCTCGGGCACAACCGTGGAGGCAATATTTAACAGTACTAAGAATATTCTGGAAAGTGATCTTCAGCA